CCACGGCCTCCTTCACGCCCTTGTTGCGCAGGCTGTCGCTGAGCGGGTTGAGCATGGGGATGACCAGCGTGTAGAAGACCGAGACCACCTTGCCCTGCTCCATGGACGCCACGGCGCCGGGCTGCGCGTACATGACGAACAAGGTGCCGTAGAAGAGGCAGACGGCCGTCATGTGTGAGCTGCAGGTGGAGAAGACCTTGTGCCTTGCGGCGCCCGAGTGCACGCGCAGGATGGTGCCCGCGATGTAGCCGTAGGACACGAGGACCACGAGGGAGGTGCCCACGATGATGAGGCCGCAGACGCCGAACATGACCAGCTGGTTGAGGGTGGTGTCGGCGCAGGCCAGCGGGAGCAGCGGGGGCACGTCACAGAAGAAGTGGTCGACGCGGCGGGAGCCGCAGAAGGGCAGCGTGAACGTGAAGCTGGTCTGCACCAGGGTGTTGATGCAGCCCCCGCAGTAGGTGCCCAGCACCAGGCGGGCACAGGCCGACGGGCACATGGTGACGGGGTAACGCAGGGGCCGGCAGATGGCCATGAAGCGGTCGTAGGCCATCACGGCCAGCAGGAACGCCTCCGTGGTGGCAAAGAGGGAGAGGAAGAAGAACTGGGTGGCACAGCCCATGAAGGTGATGGTCTTGGAGGGGGAGAAGAAGTTGGCCAGGGCGTTGGGGGCGATGACGGACGAGTAGCACAGGTCCACGAAGGACAGGTTCTTGAGGAAGAAGTACATGGGCGAGTGCAGGCGGGCGTCCAGCGTGATGACCACGATCATGGTGAGGTTGCCCAGCACGGTCGCCACATAGAGGCCCAGGAACAGGGCGAAGAGCAGGGCCTGTGTGTGCACACCACCCGCGAACCCCAGCAGCACGAAGTCCTGCAGGGACGCCCCTGACTGGTTGCCCCGTGCGGGGGGACCCATGACCCAAGCGGGCAGCGGGGCCGGGACCTGGAGGGCCTGAGGTTCACGCCCCTGCAGAGCACAGGGTCCTTGCTCTCCACAGACCAGAGGCCCTGGCTGTCACATCTGTGTGCAGATGCTCAGATCTTGAAGGTGATTCTCCCATGTGAGCCCTCAGGGCTGCTCCAAGCAGCTGTTGGAAAGCCTCTCTGGGGGCGCTTGTGCCCAAGGCTGAGAGCTGGCCCTGCCCCTCTGGCTTTACTAGTGTCTCCCGTTTGTTGAATGAGCCGGTATGTGGTGTGCGCACACTTGCTGGGGGCTCGTCTACTCGTTAAAGCAGCCTCAGCTCCTCCCGCACGTTAGTATTGTCCAAGCAGCTCTTCCTGCACCTATAGGTGAGCTGCGAGTGCCCCTCCCTGGAGGGCTGAGATTGGACCCGGGACCTGCATGGCCAAGCTGCTGTAGGAGCCCTGTTATCTCTGCAGAGCCTGAGCCCAGTGTGGCTCTCTGCAGGGCGTTCTTGCACTGGCAGAGACCCCAGCCTCTCAGGCAGGCATGTGCTCACCACGTGGTCTGAGCTCAAGCCCCAGCGGCCCTCTGGCCGCGCACCTCACACCCACCAGCTCTCCTTACTCCCAGCGACTTTGCCCAGAGGCTGCCCCCACTGTGAGGGTCATGACTCACCTAAGACCACACTGCCGGGACATCCCTCTGGGGCAGCGACTCTTCTGACTTGGCTTTAGAGCCCAAGTGTGCTCCACCTGTGCCCAGCTTCCACGCACTGAGCCAAAATGGGCACAGAGACTGGGAGATGCCCGGAGTTTCACTGCATCTGACCACAAGCGCCAGGTCCTGGCTTCAGGGCCTTCCTGGGTCTCAGTGGAAGCAAAGGAGGCTGCGCTGCTCCTGTGCGTCTCGTCCCCTTCGTCGGGTACATACAGCTGTCTGCCTTGGGGCACCCTGTTGCAGAAGTCTCTCACCCTGGCACAAGTGGGACTCTAGGCCTCTAATGGCCAATTAGGTGAAACTCAGGCTCTGGTGGTGCCCCAGGGCTCCCAACTCCCTCAGCCTAGAAGCCCTGTGGCCAGTCTTCACACATGCCCCAATGCCAAGGGGGGGTCAGATGCCCTGAAGTCCCTCATGGCCCCCCGGGGACCAATCACAAGAGAAACAGACAACAGGAAGGGACCAAGTGTCTTCTTGGCAGGGCCCTCCCCAGGACAGCAGGTGTGACTTCCTGGCCTCCTCCTCCTCCATCCTGAATCATCCTTACATGTTGCTGGAAGAAGAGCAACTTGACGGGAAATCTGGGCATGGAAAGAAGGCAGCCCTTCTGTCCAGACTCACCTGTGCAGTAATAGCAGGACAGGGTGGTCTGCTGAAAGCCCCTCTGTCCAGAATTCTCATTATTTGCTCGGACCTGTGTTTACTGCTTGTGTGGCTAATGAACTTGTCCTGACTGTCACATTTGTTCAAGTTCTTGCCTGGACAGAATAGTATTGCTCAAGACACATGGTAATGACCATCCTTGTCTCTGAGGCAGATTGGAAATTCGTGTTTTCTGTGATGTTTTAAGATGAAGTCTGTGACATCACTGAATATCTTTAGTCATGATTTAAAAAAATTGTGTGGCCTTCACCTCCTCAAGTCAATATCTTGACGGCTGAATATCAATGATGAGCACAAACTTCCCTGATAAATGCCCTATTTTCTAAAAGGGGAGTCAATCAGTATTACTACAGTTACTCAGAGAATCATGATATTAAGACCTATAGAATGACTGAAGAGAAGGCAGGCCTGTGAGGGTGACAGTGGAGGAGGCGACTGGGACCCCTATGGGGTAAGAACATAGCAGGCTCTTGACTAAATGTTTTGGTCACTTCATTTTGTTAGGACATTGACAGGAACAAAAACAGTGCCAGCTGATGTTGAACAAAAGAATGTTTTTTAAACAGCTGCTTTTGTAGTAGTAACTTTCTTATTTCCAAGAACTTCTCATGATGTCAAAGGAGGACTCACTGTATTATGGTTCATCCGTAAATGGAATATGATGCACAACAGCTGGGTTTGCTTCAAGGGAATTATGCTGAGTGGGCGATGTCAGTCTCAACCTACATTCTGCATGATCCCACTTACAGTATATTTGGACATAGAAAAGTTATGGAGATGAAAGTAAGTTTAGATGTCAGGATGGTTGCGTGGGTGGAAGATGGCCATGATTAAAGTGTAGCTCTGCACTGGTTCCTCATTTGAGGCAATTGCTTTCGTGTTTCTTCTGTCTTATTGATCTGTACTTACAAGTGGGGTGTTAAAATCCCCTACTATTATGGTATTGTTAATGTCTAGCTGCTTCCAGATAGAATTTCTTGTCATGTTGAGTCCCGTTAGTATTTCCTGCAAGATAAGTTTAGTGGCAGTAAACTACTTTTGTTTATTATAGAGCTCTTCATTCCTCCTTTGGCTTTGAATGATATTCTAGCAGGAGAATGTATTCTAGTTGAATTCCTTCTCTCCTTCCTCCCTTGGAAGAGTTTAAATTTGTGATGGCATTCTCTTATAGCTGCAAGGTTTCCATCGAGGAATTATAGGCAATAGGGATTTCCTTATAGGCACTTTATTTTTCTTTGAATGTTTTTAATATTCTCCCCTTCTCACTTGTTTTATTTGTTGCTCAGTGTCTGTTTCCAGAACCTGACTGCTTCAGTGGTGAGAGCTGGCAGCAGCAGTGCTGTTCTCTGCTCCACAAGTCAGTTGAGGCAGTGAAACGGGCAGACAGGTCAAAAGGGAGATAAGGCAGGAGCCAGAGGGAAGAGTGGAACATCCATCCACACGCCTGGGCTCTGGGACCAGAGAGCCACCAAAAAGAACCAAAAGGCTAAAAAGCAAAACCAAGAGATATAGCCTAACAAAGGACAGTGCCCATTAGAGGACAGGACACTGTTTGGGGGTGTCCTTGCGTATTTGCAAGAGACCTCAGGCTCCAGGAACAACCATGGGATTTATTTTGCAAACAGGAAGACAGAGCTCACTATGGCCACACATAGTAGGCACCTCACCCAGGTCAGTGATGGTCACCACCAGTCGCCAGGAGCGCTGGACAGCAGTGGTCAGTAGGGATGGTCACTAGTGTTCCTTCAGAAGTGGTGTCACTGGCACCCATGTTAACAGCTCTCCATGAGTTGGGCCACACCAACAACAGATAGCTTTTTGAGACACCAGGACTGGGACCTCTGGGCACCTTTCAGGTGACATCAGGGACTGACCTCAGTCTCTGACAGAGCCCTTCAGCTTTTCTTCTTTCCTCAGAGGCAGCTGCCAGATGCTCATTTTCCTCTCCTTCAGAGGCCAGGAACAGTGTCATTCCCTTCTTTTTCTTCTTTTGGAGGCTGATATGGTCTTCTCATCGAGGGCTGGCATTGTATTCTCCAGCTCTACTTCCTCAGGCCCTGGCTATCTCCCCTTTCAGGTGCCTGCCCACAAGTCTCATTGGACCATTTTTCAATCCTGTGGCTGACTGGGCCAGTTAGCACCAATCAGCTCATGGCTCACACCTGATTGGCCCATTCCATGATACAGGAAATGCACTGTCATATAAAAGGTCTCTGAGTGCAGCTGCTACAACGGACAAAAGGGCAGTTACTGTGCCCTGAGTAGTTAATGAAGAAATATCACTGAGCAAATGGTAATAATAAAGACTCCACCAGATAGGCATTTTTCAGTCCAGGTGCAATTAGCATTCCAATGCAGACATAGTTAGCAAGTTTGCCTGCTTACAAATCCATCCCTTCGAAGATTCACAGCCAGGTCTTAGCACTCCTACTAAACAAAATTGCATTTCAAAAGTCATATAACTGGTCAGGCTAGTCTGTCTCCTGAGGGCTCGCTCCCTAGTTATATCCCTTTCCTACTCCAGAAAGAACAGTCCCTCCTGTGAAACAGCCTTGCACCAAATGGTTTTGCCTGTTGTAAAACAGTCTTATCAATGTTTGTGTAACAGGTGTTGAGACCATTGTGTAAAAAAAAAAAGGAAACTCTGTCTTAGTTCAAGGCCCAGATTCTGTGTCCATTCTGTCCACATGAGAATTAAAACTCTCTTGACCTCACGGTCCTAAATACTGTCCTAAAGTATTGCTCGTCTTTTCTCTGTCCGGGTAGGAGCCAGATTTCTGTAACAGCGAGGGCTGTCACCAGAGTCCAGCTGCTTCAGCCGTGGCAGCCACAGTAGCAGCGGCGGGCTTTCATCCCGCTGCGCCAACCGAGGCTGTTCTGGCAGTTGCGCCTCAGAGACCTTTTATTTAACTGCACTTCCTGGGCCGTAGAATGGGCCAATCAGGTGCGAGCTATGAGCTGATTGGTGCTAAATGATCCAATCAGCCACCGGATTGAAAAAATGGTCCAATGAGACTTGGGGGTGGGCACCTGAAAGGAGAGAGCCAGTCATAGGGAGCTGAGAGACTCCCAGCCCCTGAGGAGAGAAGGTGCTGGCCCCTGAGGAGATGGACAGGAGAGGCGACGCCCGCCCCCCCACCCCCAGGAGATGGACAGGAGAGGCGACGCCCGCCCCCGAGGAGATGGACAGGAGAGGCGACGCCCGCCTCAGAAGGAGAAGGACAGGAGAGGCGCCGCCCGCCCCCCCACCCCCAGGAGATGGACAGGAGAGGCGACGCCTGCCCCCGAAGAGGTGGACAGGAGAGGCGACGCCCCAGGAGAGGCGACGCCCGCCTCTGAAGGAGAAGGAAGACGTTTCCAGACTCTGAAGGAAGAAGGGAAAAGGGAAGACTCCATTCTTGGCCTTCAAAGAGAGAAAAAGGAGCGTCCAGCAGCTCCTCTGAGGAGGGAGGGGAGCAGGTAGAGCTTTGTGGGACATTTCCTGAAAGGCGTCCAGAGGCTGTGCTCCTGGCATCAGTGGGCTGCGCTGGTGTCGCCCAGCAGCTCACAGACCGCCGTTAACACTGGGAGTCCTGGCAGCACCTCCGTGGGACCAGCAGTGGCCATCCCTACTGGCCAGTACTGGCCAGACT